TATTTTATTTTATTTTATTTTATTTTTTAGTGGGTGGGGGGTAGAATGTATCATTGCAGTGAAAACATGTTTGCGTAATAGAGCATTTAGGGAGAAATGGCTACTGCGAGCGCTGGGTTCCTGGTCCCTCTTTTAGGTAATTGAAATGTCAGCTAGGGCACGATATGGAAAGTATGGGTCCAATTACTGGCAGCTCATGATTGTGGTCACTGAAAAGGCAGTCTGTATTAGAAATCAGCTCCCCATGGAGTTTCTGGTCTTGTTAAATCTTCCGTGAACTCCACCTGCGTTACTAAATTGCTGAAACTTTGTGAGACGGTGTTTGGTCTTTGCCCCAAAGGTGGGGGGTTCCTACATGGAGTTTACAGCTGCAGAATCTGGATTGGCATTGCTAAGATTTGCAATCAAGACCAAGCCTGAAATCAGCGGTATCCTTCATCTGTGATCAAGTGGTCTGGCTGTGGACTGCGTGACAGAATTTGCATGTCATTACTTAATCTTGTATAAACCATCACAAGGGTTCAGAACTCTCTTGTTTCTCTTTGATGAGTTTGCCATTTGACAAGCTATTTATCTATTTACTGTATGCCAGTGTAGATACAACATCAGCAACTTCATTATTTTGCATAAAGGAAGCTATAAATAGTTGAGGAAAAACTGTAGTTCTTATCAACAGAGGCAATATTGTTTTCGGATGGGAAACTATTACAGCAGCACAGGATGGACATTCCATTTAACAAAGGCTTTCAAGGTTTTGAAGTGCAAGAAAGCACCCAAATTTTAAATTACTGGAGCTAAAAATCATAGTTAGGAAGGGAAAGGATCATTTCATATGAATCAAAATATTTTGTTTTGGGAGCATTGACAATGAAATGTTTAATTTTTGTTTCTTTTAAAAACTGTATTGTGATTTGTAAAAATGAAATACATTTTAGGAATTTCAGAAAAGTAAATCAGACTTTCTGGCCCCTGAACATTGAAATTTTATATCAGTCCAATTTCCTGAAGCATTTTAACATTGACAGGTCTAATTATTTTGATAGGACTTGCATTTGTCAGTGTTTTCTCTGTGTCTGTAACATGCACCATTTGTACATGTGTCTTCTCTGCTGTTTATAGTATATGTAGAGTCCTTATGCAGATCATTTTATGCCTTTATATACCACAGTAACCTTCCTGAAATATGCATTGTTTTAAGCGGTTCTAGAACAGAAACTAATGACTTCTGAAAGCAGAGCAGTATTGATTCAGTGAAGATGGCCAAAGCCTTCAAGCCTAAGTGCTTAAATTTAGGTACCTAAACCCAAGCCTAGCTATCTAAGCAAGATGATGTCATATTTATGCTTGTTAAGCACGAGTTAGCGGCACTGTGCTTAGTGTTGCAGAATTCCTTTGCTAGAAACAAGCTGCGGCCTCCTAGAATGGGTTGAAACCTGGTGGAGCGTGATGATGGACCATGTTACATTTGGGACAAATTGTTTCAGAAGGAATTAACTCAAGAAGCTCTATTGTTCATGGAGAAACACCAGTGTAAAAGTGCCCAGCAAAGTTTATAAGGAAAAAGAAATGTCCTTAATGATGCAAATTGCATTTGGGGTAGAACAAAAGAATAGCAAAATTGTTTGTGCCCCGAGTACCTCAAAGATTTACAGAGGGCTACTTGGCAATTGGAGTGCTTAGGGAGGCAATTCTTCATCATTTCTGCTCATTGATATCTTTACTGGACTTTCTTGTTCTGTGCACCAGAGCTGGGAGGAGGAAGGCACGGAGGGTGGTGCCGGCAGCCAGCCTGCTCTGGGAAATTGCCCATTACTCTTGCTGTAAATTTCAGTATCTTCCTCGTTCTCTCAGTAAACATTGATTTATGAGGACCTGGATGTAGACGGACAGTTTGTGATTGGGTGTGCTGCTCTCTTGTAGAGAATTTACTCCAGATCAACAGAAAATTATTTCTGAAACTCCTCTGGTCATTAGTTTCTGTTAGACAGCATTTCGTGGAGAGGGTGCAGTGCCAAAGCATACGGGAAGGCTCGGTGGCACCTTTCCTGTTCTCGCGCTGAAGCCAGAGGAAACACTCTCAGCCCAGGCCGGCTGGACTCCCCCGTGCACATTTCTGGCGGTGATCACGTCTGTAAAACAGAGAGTGCATTTTTACCAACCACATGTCCTAAAGTTCTGCCCATCTGTCAGTCATTGTGGCTTAAGTGCTACTTGGGGGTACGGTGGAAGTTGTTCCTTTCCTTCAGCATTTTTTCATCTGCTTTTGTTATGCACAATTACATTTGGCTTTGTGTCTGCTCAGTATGTATGTATGTATTTTCTGTTTGATTTTTTTATATGACTAGAATTTAACTATACTTTTGGGAGTGAAATATCCAGCAGTACATGCTGCCTCTTTGCCTTTTCTTCAATTTGCACGTGAACTTGGGATATTTTTTCTGGTGAACGTTATTTCAGTAAATAAATACATAGACTGTGTGCCTAATGGGTGGGAAAGCTGAGTCTCATCCCTGTAGTCACAAGGGAGAAAATATAAAATGTTCAAAGAATAATCACCATCATTCAATGTATATCCGAAGCTTATCTAGATGGGAGAGAAGACATTTCAATCACTTAAGATTGCCTAGTGCATGGTGGATGAAACTTTCTATTGTTTGTAAGCAACAAATCCGTAGGGAGAGCATTAAAAGTCCCCTGCTTATCTTCCCGTTATTTATTGCTTTGAGCAACCCATTTTGTTTTGTTCCGAGGTGATACTCCTCGATCCCCTCTGCCAGTCCATGCGTAGGGTTCAACGCAGGCGTAGCAGGGTCATCCGCAGCTCCTGGGCAGACAGATGAGCCGTGGCGTGGCCCTTGCTCCGTCTGTGGCCGCACATGGACATTCTGTGGGTTCGTGTCCTCTGTGGGAAGCGGGGAGAGGCACAATTGCACCTTCCTTGGACTTGTTCTCATTCTTCCACGTTGCCCTGTCTGGAGCAAATGTAACATCCACGGCTTTTGGAGGAAAGGGGTGTTTGTGATGGTCCTTCTGTTTGCAAGTCCTCCATGTCTCTTCATTGAGCATGGAGTAGAGTGGACAGTCATCCCCCATCTTTCTGTTTGCCCACTGTTAAGAAAGGCAATAGAGTCCCTAAGTTTTCTCAAATCTTCATACAGATTGTACTCTTGCCTGTGCTACATAAACTCTTGATTGCTGGTAAATGATTCTCAAGCCTTTTCAGAGAGCATCAAAACACCACAGTGTCTCTGAGCTATTGGTAAATTATTGACTTAATTAATTCCCATTCAGACACTTACTTAAAACCGGCTCCAGATGAGCATTCAGGAGTTTTTCCTCTTCTCCTAGGCTGTGCAGTCAGACAAGCGGTTGCAGTGTAGCTGCAATAGTTGAAGTATCACCTCTCTCTATAAATGCCCCCTCACTTGAACCAGAATTAGTGACTCCGTGAGTACTCTGAGCCCTTTTTCATGCAAAAATAAGTTAACAGGAATCTCAGTCAGTGATGGCAGCTAGCACCGGAGGAAGGATAACATCTGACACCTCTCAAACTCTCACAGAAATATTTGTCTTGCCATGCTTTTAATTCATGAGATGATACTTCCCTGTTGATCAATACCATAGGGTATTTTGCTACATCAATTTGTATATGTTAATTGCCTTATCATGTTTTGGTGGGTTTTTTTTTTTTTTTTAAATAAAGGGACAAAAGCCTCAAGCCCCCCAACTGGTCTGAATTCCTCATTTTAGCTGATGGGAACAGGAACCCAGTAGGGAGTTTCTCTAGCCAGCTTGCCTCGTGCATGGTTCACTCAGTGGGGTTCCTTTCTGTTAGTCCTTTTCACTCACTTCCATTTCACAGGCATTCAAGAGCTATGTGTATTTTTTTCCCCCCTGAGTCAAATCACAAAGAAAGCTGCAATCAAGCAAACTTTTCAGACACGCTCTCTGGAGACTGGCTCACTAAGGTTCAAATGGGTTCAAACGAGAATAAAGTGGGACTGGGCAGAGGGAGGACAAGCAGATTTGGAGGTAAAATTGAGCAAATCAGACAGTAGAAAGTTTCAAAAGTTCTTGGAAGGCAAATGGTTATAAAAGTGATAAAAAGGAAAGCCTGGTTATGATAGAAGAGTAGTATGGAGGTCAGGGTGAGTGCAGTTTTGGACAATACATTGGCTACACTATGGTTTTGAAAGAAAAGATAATGATTCACCCTGCTAAAGGATTTGTGTGAGGAGCAAGCAGTGGGGAGTAGAGGTTTTTCCATTCCTAGAAGATTCCCACAATGTTCCTGCCTGATTGTTATTGTCAGATTTGTAAGTATTTCTAGACATACAGCAGTGAAGGTTACTTCACTTAGGGAGTAGCCCTACTAAGCACATATAGATTTTTAATTAGATATTCCAGCTGGTGAGAAGATGTTATATTTTCCAGTGTTTCTTCCTTTACGCTTCATAGAGTTCGCAAAATGATAGTCCACCCTTCTGCGAGATTATCCCCAGGTTTCCTAGCCATTGCATAGCAAGCACTGTGTAGTCATAGGAAAAGAGATGGACTGTTGAGACTCCATGTCCTCCCCGATCTGTAATCTGGTGGCCAGGTGATACCCCAAGGGGGTACCTACATCAATCGCTTATTGGAAATACCAGTATTAAAAAAATACTAGTGTATTTTAGCCAGTGTTTATTTCAACTTTTTTTTTTTTCTGCTTATAAAAGGCGATTGTGATGGATTAGAGTGGGAAACAAGTCATACCACCATTGACCACAACTAAATCTTGCAGAAGCAGGAATTTACCAGTCTCTGGGTTATTGTGTAACTGTGCTTTAGAATAAAAACTAGAGCCCACCACTGCTATGGCCCCCTGACTTCTGTGTAATGTTTTTTTCAGGGTACCAGATCTCCTGGGAGGTGTATGGCAGGAACGAATCTCGTCGTGCCCGCACGCTACCCAACACGACGCCGGAGTACAACAACACGGGGCTGTCATCTCTCACCACTTACACGATCGAGGTGGCAGCTGTGACCGCAAAAGGGAGCGGATGGGTCACGTCCTCCACCATCTCTTCTGGTGTGCCCCCAGGTTGGTGAAACTGCATGAAACAAATTAAAATGGGTTGTTTCTTCATGTTTCTGTGTTCTAAAGATCATAAATTATTTCAGTTCAGTAATAATAAAAATGTTTTTATTTGCAAAGCATTGGAATTCTTTACCATGTAATTTAAATTTAATTTGTAAAACAGATTAAATCGTTAACATGAACACACTCACAATTTGAAATTACCAGAAAGCTGAGGTTGTTTGATACACATGCAAAAGAAGTTGTAGGGATGGCAGAAGGGAAGGACAAAGTAATAAAGTGGACACAACACAGAATCTCTTGACATTTACAAAAATAACATAAGAATGAAGCCTGAATCAATTCAAAATTGTTGCTTTGGGGGAAAAATAGAGTCTGGATGCTGTTAAAAAGGAAAGGTTTTTCCATTTATAAGTCATATAGCTTATGTCACCTCTGAGATGATATTTGCCTAATGAAAGTAAAATCTTATTTACAAGATTTGGGAGTTGTGGCCTGAGAAAGATTTGGGAGGAGATTTGCAGTCCTGTACTGCATTGTCAGAGTCACCGTTTGGATACCTGTGCATTTAACCTTTTTGCATTTTGTTTTTAAAATTCTGCACTCTCCCTCATCCAGTATAGAAAGCAAACTAAAAAGCAATTCTTAGCTCAGACAAGCAGTTTCAGTTAATTTATAGGTTATACAAGTAGAATTTTCCAAAGTGGAGCAGTTAGTGTACCTCACTGATGGTAATCCCATTTTTTCCCTTTTCCGGTATTTTTGAACTTTTCTGTATATCTTGAAGTATGCCTGCCTTTCTTTTACCTAATCATAGGTAATTGTGACAAGCTGTAGACTAGATCAATGCCATGCTCCCTGTTGTTAGCCAGATAACAGCATTATCCTACTTGGGCAGGGTTAGTTTATCGATCATAGTTCCCACAAATGTGAAGTAAGAATCAGGAAATATTGTGTATTTGTGTATATGTGAAATATATGTCAAAAAGCTGCTTATTTTTTGCCTGTTGCATTTGCAGATAGTACAACATTATGAATGATTACTGATTATAACACTAATTTCCATTACTTACAAATGCAGGTACTATTGCGAATTTATTCTAAACAATCTATAATCTCTTTCCTTGGCTTGCTTTTGTTGATAATTCAGATAATACTAAAAATGTAAATGCTGCTGTAAGCCTGACTGATGTGAGGCAAAGATCTGATCGAGCCTGCAGATTTTACCCTGTGGAAGGTCACGCTTTATTTGCAAGAGAAATTAAAAAAAAAAAATTAATCTACTTTATTGAGGCATCAGAAGTGCCCTCTAAAACCTATCTACTATAGAATCACAAAATCTTCCCCATACTTTACCCAAAAATTTGAGTCTTTTTCTGTTGTTAATATATTAAAGTTGTATGTACTTTAAGAAGTAAGCAATCATTACTGTCATTTAATTCTGGAGGAACAGAAGGACAGTGGGATTAGGTGACTTGGGAAGTGACTGGCAGATCTGGAGCTGGGAAGTACCTTCCCTCCGAGCCACCACGCTTTGTCAGTTGTGCAAGTTCTCTAAAATAGCAGCTGTAATTCTGTAGCTGGGCTCTTTCTTTTCTCATTTCATCTGTAAAAATGTGGTGCATGTTCAGAGCAGCAGAAATAGTAACGCTGTACATAATACTCTGCCAAAAAAACCCCAAACCAAACCACAGCTTTTGCTCTGTTATAATTGTTACCAAGGTATTTTATCTGCTGAAACACTGAATGTCAACCTGTGTTACTGGGCCCTAGATGCAGAGCATTTCCATCTCTCATTTACGTTTCTATTTCTTCAGAACTTCCAGGTGCTCCGTCCAACCTGGTGATTTCCAACATCAGCCCCCGCTCCGCCACGCTTCAGTTCCGGCCAGGGTACGATGGCAAAACCTCCATCTCCAAGTGGATAGTCGAAGGCCAGGTATGTCCCTGACAAAAAAAGCTCCTGTTGAAGTTTCTGAGGGGTTAGAAAGGGTCTAAATAGTCAATTGCTGTTTGGATTACAGTTTTTGTTTAACTTTGGATCAAAGCTCTTCAGTACATGGCCTGGTGGTAGGTGTTCAGGGAGTCCTGGAAAGGTTGGAATGCAGGGGAGCTGGAGGGGCTTAGCTGAGAAATGTCCGTGCTGTAGCCAGTGAGAAAAGGGTCACGTGAATGCTGTAACTTGGGTTCACAGGAACAAAAGAAAAATATGATATATAATATATATGTGAGAATGCTTATCCTTTAAATAATTTCTACAGATTTTTGTAAAGCAGCTTTGGTTATGTTCAGAAGAACACCAGATGCATCATAAGCAACACATACAGCAGAGCTTAAGTCCATCCTTTTATTCAAAAAAGGATTTGAAACCTGTGTTTAGGTTCTGTCAGGTGTATTTTCAAACCAGATGCAAACCTGGAATTAGTATCTCATAGAGTCAGAAGCATAGGACGAATTGCACTGAACAGTAAAGACACCATTATTCATGAGACTGAGTGTATTTTTCTATCTTGTAATGGAATATACTGAGGTTTTCTATTGAGGTCTCTAGATATGAATAGGATGAATTCTCTTCTTCATCAGCTTTAAACAATATCCTTCTTTCTGCTGTCATTATGCCTTGGAGGAGTTATATATTCCTCATTTGTTCTTCTGACAGATGAGCTTTGCTTTTTCCTTTCCACCCACAGATCTTTATAAATAATATAATCTGTTTTTAAGACCAAATGTTGGACTTCTTAAATCACCGTCACCACTTAGACATGTTGATACAATCACTTCACTTGGTAATGAGACTGTTGTGAACAAGTTGGTACATTTTGTACCGTTTACATACACATTATTGCATATTATAGAATTAAAACACTATAATATGGTGGCTTGGCACATTCTGAGAAGCATTTTTGTGCTGGAACACCACATTGATATTGCTAGGAATTTGTTAAATCTGTGAGTTGCAGAACACCAGAGAAGTGAAATAAACTTGAATGCTTTAAAACTGCAGTAATAATTGCCATGAAGTTCATCTGCATCTTTGAAAAGCCCTGGGTACAAATACTAGTTGAAGGGTTCTTGGTGTGCAGGGAGAGAAGGGAGGATCTTTCTTGTTCACAAACCCTCATCAACATCTCTTACATTGCTAGAAAAGTCAAGGGGATAGTGGTTCTGATAGATCCTGGATCCAGGAATATTCGCTCCATTTTGGGAAGGAGCACAACCAAAGCCTTTGCGGAATCTGGGCGGTTCTTTTCCCCACAGCTACCCTGCGAGTTTCTTCTGCACCATACCTCACCTTCAGCTTTGGCACAACAAGAAATATTGTTCCAAGTGGATTTAATGAGGAAAATAGAATTTTTTGCTCACATGATTTACAAAAATCTTTTCAGGTATGCAGAGAAATTGGTGACTCCTTAAGGATATAGCAAATCCTGTTTCCAGGATGACAGCTGCATGTAATCCTTTGTTCACAGCCCCTTTCTGCCAGCACTCCGCTCAAACTCTCTTTCTCTCTCTTAAAGTGCAATTTCACAGCACCTTTAGCCAATCCAAACCAGAGCTCTCACCGTCCTGCTCCTGTTCGCCCTCCTCATCCCCGTCACTCTTACCAAGACTTTCTTACTCCTGCCTTCTGCATGTGCCGATTCTGGCGTGATCACACCCGGAGCTGCTATAAGACTTGATCCAGCTGAGAATAAGTGAGTTTCAGAGAGGTCATCTCCCTGCACAGGCTGTGTGTGTGATCAGAAGAGCACCATTGCGAGGGGAGGGGATGAGAACATGGAGGTGGGAGCAGAGCTGAGGGCAGGAATCTGGGCTGCTGTGACCTGCCCTCTGGACTTCACGGGTTTTTCTACCTACCTTTTAAAGACACACAAGCTGTGTCACTTATGAGCCCCAGTATTGACTTATGCCTTTCATGTAGTCTGTTCTAAGCGGTGATAATGTCTGTGCTTGGATGCAGACTACTCTTGCAACATCTATATTTTAGCATAGACAACCATAATTGTTCCTTAGGACAATGTTAGATAGAAGGGCAGCGGTTGTACCCAACCTACAACAGTATTTTCTAAACAAAAATATAGGGTGATTTTTTTTCCTTCTGGATCATTCATTCACTGGCCCATGCACAGCTTTTAATAGCCCTGTCAAGTGTTTCATGCCTTAGCATTAAATGAAAAGCCACTCAAGGCATGGGTTTGCATACTATGATTCTAAAACAGGTGGTGTTGCGGAGTGACAGGATCACATTTAACTATAAAATACTAATCTATATGTTCTAATGTACTTTTCAATTAATCAGTTGAATTGGAGAAGAAAGATTCTGTCCAAGCAGGTAGAGGGACTACATCTCCATCCATTCACAATTTTTTTTGCACATTAGCCTCTCTGAAAGTTTGCAGCAAGGTGCAGAATAGCTGAAAACAGCTAATAGCTTGGGAAAAAAAATATGTTGCAGTTTACCAAGACCTTGTACAGCATGATCTCTCCTGGAAGGAGGAGAACTTGGCCAGTGTCCCCGCACGGGTCTGTTCCCTCTGGGCTGTACTTCTGCTGTCGGTGGGCTCATGGCAAAGCATGACCAACAAATCCATGGTGCTGTCGTGCCCTTCATCTACATCCCCCTCTCTTTGTACAGCTGGGTGATGGTTTTGCATTGGACATCCGTTATATATTGTGTCTTCTCTTTCACCTCTACTGGGAATATACCCTTTACTCTGAATGTCTGAGTCCTTACAAACTATTTTATATTCACACACACAAACAAGCTGCCACCAACATGTTTTTCTTCTTTGTTCCTTTGTGTCATAAAGCTTCTTTCATAAGGGCAGGTCTAGAAAATGTTCCAAGTGTCCCATTTTGGCTAAGTGCCTGATACTTCATGAACAATTTGGATGAAAAACACAGCTGGGAATTCCAGTTGACGTGAAATTTTGTACATCTGGCCTTGGCTTCTGCTTTTTGTGCTGGGGTGTAAATTCATGGGAGCCACTGTGGAACTAATTTTCAATTATGTCAATGAACATGAGAGGAAAATCAGGTCTTTAAGATTTTAGTGTTGGTAGATACTGAAATATCAAGCGTTAAAAATCCCATTTCTGTGTTTCTAGTGGAGCTACATCCTGTGCTTCTGACGGGATTTCTTAAAAATCACCAGGGTTTCTTTTCCATCTTTCCATGTAGACTCAGAGGACTTGAGGGAACTAGATTTCCAACTGGAGAACTACAAATAAGTACCGATGCCATTTAAAAAATATTTCTAATGTCATGTTTCCATTACATATAGTATAATCTAAAGAGAAGAGGGTGTAACGTAATATAAAGTTTCTGCTTGTTCAGAAGGAGCAGCAGTAACTGTCTTGTGGCATTGACACTCACGGATAACGTGGGCATCCCTAAAGAATTTCAGTAAATCCTTCCAATCGTCCTGTACTCTCACATGCAGTTACAGTATATATTGCAGACATTTTTTCTGGGAATTTGCAACCAAGAACAGCACTGAATCCCTGCTGTTGTTCATGTGGTTTCATATTTGCACTCTCTATTTGCTGCAATCCAGTTTCAGCTTATTTTTCTCATGCTGGATTTTTCCTGGGGTTTTGTCAGAAGTACATGAACGACATGATCACGACTGTGCCTTGGTAGGTGCTCAGTCCACAGCATCAAGCTTTCCAGTGCCTGATTAGAAAAGCTGGGCGAAGTCCTGAGTTTGGGGTGGTTTTCTGCTGATTAATGTTATTGTGCAGACAGCAGACGACCTGCGGAACGGCTGAAGGCCACTTATGAACAGGTACTGCAGGTCATGGAGCCATGAGTATATGGGCTAATATAGAGAGGTTTTGCTTAAAGCCTTTCTGCTCGTTTTAGAGAGATTTTGTACAAATATCATGGCGAGCAGTAACAGAGTTTCAAAGTAGTAAAACCTTTAAAGTATTATCGCTGTATTCGCTTGTAAAGCTGTGAGTTGGGAAAGACGTCGTAACTTTAACCATGAATTTATCTGGTTTTGTGGGTTAAGTCGGTGACCCAGATAGGATTCATCCATTGTACGAGGTGATTCTCTTGGTGTCGTCGTTACTTCAGAGCTGGTAAATAAAGTGTCTGAAACTCTGACAATTTTATGCCTTTGCTAATCTTTAAATCAAAAATGGCCGAATCGATTTAAGGATTTTGTAAGAAAAAAAATTGCACCCAGGCTGACATCCTGTGAACCGAATTTCTCCCAAAGTGATTTCAAATGTGAGTTATGGACCTCTATAATGAAAACTCTGACATATCTTGAACTATAGAAGAACACAGGGGACTTCTATAACGTACAAAAACACTGTGTTTTCCTTTCCTGTAGTTAGTAGTTCATAACTGTTCAAAATTTTGGAAGCATTACTGTCTTATATGAAATATCGCAACAAGTGATTTTTTCATTCCAAATTTTAATGATTTTTGGTTTCTTTTAAGTCAAAATTCCACAACTTTGCTCATATAGTGCATTCCATCAGAAAAGGCTAAGTCACTTTAAAAAATATGTAACATTTTCCTTTTTAGAAAGGGAGAAACTAACGCATAGAGAAGTGAAGGGTTCTGACATCACTTCCAATATTGTTTCATACTGTCTCATTTCTGTAATAATAAATGAATGTTCCCTTTTATTGAATATAATGCCTTGGGAAGAGCTGAGAGATGGGAATGAATATGTGTTAATTTGTGATGGCTGATCGTTATTGAGAATCATATGAAGTCTCTCGGTGGACATGGGTGTGTTTACTGTGACAGTCCTGGGGCCTCCTGGGGATTGCGGCCCCATTGTGCGGAGAGCTGTGCAGATGCAGAGCACAGTTCTTAAGGAGTTTTTATGCTGATGGTAACAGAAAAGCAGTTGGTGTTTTCATCTGCCTCCTAAAACAATGCACACATAAATATGTGTGCATCTGTCAACAAACATAATCCTTTTCTGAAGTTTGCATGCACTGTTATCCAAAAAACAGCTACAAGAAAGAAGCCTCTAAATTAACTTTATTTTATGCTCATAGTGGACTCTCTTGCCCCTCAAAGGACTCTTTTATCCTTACCACTGCCCGTAGTTCTTTTTGCCCCATGGGAATCCCTTTGTACTCTGATTCTTGAAACTGATACGTTTCCTCTGATCTGACATCAGAGTGTTTCAGCAAAAATAATTCCCTGTTCCTTCAAGAGCCTGAAACTTGGAATCTACTATAGATCTTGCGGAAGTTAAAAATACAGAAGTCCATCAATGAAGGTTCTTTGCCGAGACTCATTTCTGAGATTATTGATAAATTAAACTTGTTTTGAGTAACGTTGACCTAGAATTGCTTGGCCATGCAAGTCAGAGGTCGTGCAGAAATCCCCAGGCTGTTCACCAAGCTGCCCTGCAGCCCTTCACCCTTCGGTCCTCTTACCTCGGAAAAGCTCCCCACACAAACAGCACTCTCTTAAAATATACTACTGATTTCAGTAGAAGATCTAACCCTTTGAGTTAGTTTCCCAAAGGCTGGCACCAGATCCCGGGAACATTACAAGGTATTATTCTAACTAAAGCAAGTTCCTGATCTATTTCTCTCAAAGTCTTTTTGCTGAATCACAGAACTATGTCTACGGTTGATTTTTTTTTTTTTTTTTTTTGCTGCCTCTCTGTTGCTACCTTTCAGCAGAAAATGAGTCTAAAAGCGGTTAATTGAGACTGTCTGTGCTGCTGCTTTGCCTGGGGTCCCCCACCTCCCAGTACAGGTACTGGTCACCTGTTTCCCAGCTGGCTCCTGAGCTTGGGAGCAACCAGTGTGCCGGGCTGGCTTGGCATCTGCAGCACCCATCACTTCGACCAGGGAGAGCACTCGCAACCAAAAGCTGTCTCCTGGGATAGCTTTTGAGGGGCTTGCCATAGTCGTGGGCACATAGAAGCTTTTGCTGCTTCTCAGTCAGTAAAAGATCCTTAATATTTCCACCTTTGCAGCCAGGTGGTAAATGTCTAGCTGCAAAACAGGCAGCGGGGTTTGGACACCTCTCAAGCCTGAGTCAATGTCAATTGTTCACAGCCCTGTGGGCCTCTGGGTCTGAACCATGTGGTCCTTAATGTGTATTAATGACCTGCCTGCTGCTGTGTAACGATTGAAACCTGTGGTCTTTTTCTTTTTTCTTTTCTTTTTTTTTTCTATGCAAGAAATATTTTAAAAAGCTCTTACTATTCTTAGAATACAAAAAGATGACTAACTACTGGAGATTATTTGCAGCCTCCAAAGCACTGTGGATTGTTGCTGTACAATTACTACAGCACTTTGAGGTGATGCTGTTAAGAGTAAGGAGTTTTGCAAAAAAAAGCATTTACTATAGACTTTCTACAGTATTAATCAAAAATTCTTTTATTAAGAAGTGTTCTCTGTTTCCTTGACTGAAATCAACCCTTTCTTCCTTTCTTTGTTCATGTAAGTTTGTTTTTTTTAAATTCTCTTTTATCATCTCTCTGTTTCCTGGGTTCACTTTAGGGCTGTTCTCTTTTACCATGCAGACCTGTCTCAACTTGCTTCCTTTAAGCTTCTGCATCCATGGACTTTACTAAAATTTATGGAGCTCACTTGGGACTGAGAATTTTAAAAGGCCCGTAATCTTCACTGGCATCTATTTTATATGTTGTTTGGTATGCGGCAGTGTCCTTGCTAACTAGCAAGACTGAAAGGCCCACCAAGACCTGTGCAACCACATCCCTCCATGAAAGCCATCCTCTGCTAAGAAGATCACAAAGGCTTCTTTTCACAGTGCAATGCAGAACTTATTTCTTTGGCCTAATTTTCCTTGTGTCATTGCTTCCTGCACAAACATAAATATGCAGCACATCAACTCCTGGGTGAGCGAAGAACTAAAACATCTATAAATAAATCAGTCTGCTTCTCCTGAAGGGGAAAAAAAAAAGTGAATGAAACCTAATTTTCTATTTGAAGTACTTGGGATATGCTAGATACTTTGGGCTACATTGCCTATCGAGTGTTTTGACAGTGTCTATGGCTGTAACTAGTATACAGAACTCGTGAGGGATCTGTTTAAAAAAGATTAAAGGAAATAGCTCTTTACACAGTGGGTCATGAGCTGCTGGAATTTGTTGCCACAGCAGTCTGTGGGAGTAGATAGTGTCACTAGGTTAAAAAAGGATTAGGCGTCTTCATGGGTATTAAGTCTGTAAATAGGTGCTAAAGGGAACAGCTGCCTACGTGCCCTCTCGTCCCCCTCAGCCCCTGACGGTGGATACCAGGGGAGGGTGAGGGAACCGGACCGTGGGTGCTGCCCTTTGCAGGAGGGCAGAAACACCAGAGTAAAAGTGCACAGTGCTAGAGAATGATAGCAGGGAATCTTGTCTAAGATCTGAGGATCTCCAAAGTGAAGCCCAGCCATCTCGCACCTCTCTTCTGTTTCCTCCCCACTGTGGCTCTCAGGCACACGACCCTGCTTGCCGATGTTGCCATCTTCCAGGGTCTGAGGTCAGACTCTGGCCTTTCTATCACTCCTTGTTGGCTTCCTTTTAAGTCCCGATTCATCTTTATTTTATCTCCAAAAAGCTGTATGGAAAATAATGTTTTCAGTTCTCATCACCATTTTGTCCCTCCTAACACTGCCGTAGCTGAGGGACTATGTTGGGCAACATGTTGTGATTAATTAATACAAAGGATTGCATGTGGAAAAGCCTGGTCTAAGTGCAGCCCAGCAGATGAGGTTAAAATGCTTTTGTTCTTTGACTTTGTTCTTGTTTCTCTGTCTTCATTTCTGTGGCATTTTTCCTCCGTTGAGACTCACTTAGTATGCATCAGTTCCTGCAAGTTATTATCAAGCCTATTTTTCATTTTGTTATATTACTACTTGATACTTCTGTATTGTGGCAGCGAGATTGAACAGGGTATTAGCGCTCTCATGGTGTTTTTCTGGAATAGATCTTATCAGAGGATCCCAGTGAAGTCCCAACAGGTAGAAGGAAATTTGGAGAACTTGGCTGTGTTGTCACTTTACAAATAACTAATGTCTTGTCATAAAAAAATGAATGTTAACTGGATAATATATATTTAAAAGCATTTGTCCTTCCACTGGTGTGATGACACACACTGAAGAAGAAATTATGTATATAATTATGCATAACTCTCTCTCTATAGATATAGTCTGCTTTGTATTCCTTCTCACCTTTCCTGTCTACAGGTTGGTGTGCTGGGTGATGAAGAAGAGTGGGTGAGTCTTCATGAGGTGGAGAATGAACCTGATGCTCAGATGCTGGAGGTACCGAACCTTACTCCTTACACTCATTACAGGTAAGAACAGCAGGTAATTAGCTGCAGCAAGGGGGGGCGGGGAAAAGTAAAGAGCAGCATGGAACAGCTTTCCTAATCGGAAGCAGCTGACTGTGTTTATAATCTGAACAAAAGAGAAAAGGTTTGCTGTTTTCATAGATTATATTTAAAATTACTCGTCTGATATTGTTAATTGTAATTTACATACAATAGAGTTCGTAACATTATAAAGGAAATCCAAGTGCACAGTGAAATGCTGATGAGTAAGTGATATCCTGACTTCCCTCATCTAAAGGGTGCACCAGTGTAACATCAATCAGTGACAAATCAATTGTAGTTAAACTGCTGCAAACTTGTAATTACATATTTATATCAATTTAAACATCATTTTATTGATTTAGCTTAATTTGGTAACATCAGTTAGATGAAACCTTTGTTTATAAGAATTTACTGTTTGCCAAGTTAAGTTTAATAAATACACACAATGCTTAAGCTGATTGAAGTGAATCTGCATTATGGGTGCGCCCCAGTTAAACGAGATTGATTTTTAAATCAATTCAATTCAAGTGATGCGTTGCTTCAGTATAGACAAGATTTGAGAATTTGAGGTACTTAATCCTAATGAAAAATACTTTCTTGAAATAGCTTGCTAATGTAAAGGCTGGTTCAAGGAGATATAGTGGCAAGTGTTAAATCAGCTAACTAGAAACCTGTCCATTTTCCGCTGGCTGAAGGGCCTATTAGCTAGTCCAGGTGCTGTTGTGAGCTAATAGTAGGTGCAACCAAGTAAAGCTCATATAATTTACAACTAATTCAGTGCTGGTAAGCTAATTTTCTTCCCTTAGTCAGAAGCCTAGGAACTTACTGAATTTCTCACAAAGTCTCCACTGAAGTGTTTTGCACCTCATCCTCAAGAGCTAAACATTTTACGAAAAGCTCTTTCAAAATTTTGGAGCAGGAGCTGAGATTTCTAGTGCAGAGGTTTAGGGAAATTATCTTCAGGTTAAGAAGATTTTGTTCTCCTTATAAAGGTGGATTCTTTAAGCTGAAAAGGCAGAGGTGAATAGTAAAGTGCAGGTCGTAGCACAGTCACCGTTCAGTCATGCAAAATAAGAAAGACTCCCATGCCTAGCAGGTGTACGGAGAAATGTCTTTGGGGTAAAAAATAGAGAGGAAGCATATGAGAAGTTTGGGGTGGATGTTTTTTTTACTATTGTTAAACTTTCTGATTTATTTTTTGCTACATCTCATTTCTCTCTTGTACCCATTGAATTCTGGAGTGATCCCAGTTATGCTGGGATCTTTCGCAATTCCAGTTCTCTGATTTTTTTCATCATAATTTGTACATTAAAGCAGCTCCTTGAATTTTGCCTCTTTTTTTTCTCTCATGGATGCACAGATACGAGGTTTTTCTGTTTTGTTTCAGTGTAAAGCAATTTGATATCATTTTTTGAAACCTAGAAAGTTGTTGCCAAATGGATTTGTGGTCCTCTGGTCAGCTTTAGTCATTGCCCGCTGAGGAAATACATCATGAGAGCTAATTATCAGACCACATCTTTAGCAGCCAGCTTCTTTTCTATATTATGTGCCAATGTTTGAGAGTGAAATCAAGGGCAATATTTGTTTAATATGTTTCCTTTAATGCATTTTCTAGGGAGATCAGAGCAGATAAATAAACCCTGCTGTGTTGACTTTTCCCAAGCTCAGTCATTAGGTCCAAAAAGTAAGTGTTTAGTATGAACAGGTCATGTATTTGTGTGCAAGCGCTGGATACCTCTAATTGCTTGTGATGGGTGAGAGTATCTGAAATGTGCAGCACGTCTTAATTATTTTGTGTTTCCTGAAAAAAAGATTTCCCTAAATCTTTTGTGACCCAGTAGGGATTTCTATTGTAGAAGAGATGGTTTCGAGCAGACAGGGTATTTTTTTAAAGACGCATATCCATATTAAATAACTTAATCTTTCTTGTGCAGGAAGGCTGAAAATGCAGCACAGGGATAAATCAGCTTCTTTCAACCAGTAATTGAGGGGAAATGTTATCACTAGTATATTTTTTATATTGACAGGGAATGAGAATATCCGAAGTTTGATATTTTAATACCTTTCTGAATGTATTGTACTAGCATCGCAAGAGAAAATCACTTACTGCTAGCATAAGCTCATCAGGCTTGCTATAATTAACATAAATTTCTCACACAAATACCTAAGTTTCTAATAGACCCTAAGCTAATCTCATTTTCATTTTTCTTAATACCTGAGAGGATCTGAAAGCAGTTACCATAAAGCATTCAGCAGTGAATACAAAGGGGACTTGCATTGCAACGACCTTTGCGGAACATTTTGAAAGACCTAATTTGTATTTTTCCATCTTTTTCCTGTTCTGGAAAGAGAGGTACCATTCGCCGAGCTGTTACAGCCTGCACTGCATCTTTCCTCCGCTCCAGGTTCCGGATGCGGCAGGG